GAGTTAAGAAAAATGGCTATTTTATACTCTACTCAGCTTTTTTTTTGCTTTTTTCCATTCACTCACCCACTCAACACAGGTTGACCAAGGAACTACTACGTACCTGGTCATGGAATGGAAAAACACATTCAAGGTCCCTGTAATGATGACTATCAGTGATTTCACTTTCCACAAAGGTTTGGATCAATGTTTCTAGACATTGTGTAGAAGAGGTATAGCTGCAGCCCAAAACTTGTACCGGGTTATGGTTTCTGAGAACCCTACATGTTAAGTTCCAGCAGAATTCTCAGTATAGTCAGAGACATCTGAGATACACACTGTGCGGAGAAGGCACATGATAGTTATTCAAGACAGCTATGATTGGGGAGTTTGGCTACATTAACTCCAGCCCTGGTTCTACTACACATATCTGGGAGACCTTGGACAAGACATCAACCTCTCTGACATTTTCTCGTCTGTAAAATTAACTTTAGTTAAAATTAGCTCCAAGGATCCCTCCAGCATTTATAGTCGGTGATTCTTGAACTTATTTTTTCAATCCCTAAGAAGTTAGAATAGGAATTAAATAAATAAAATTGCTTAGAAACTTTATTTCAGAGAGTCTATTGGAAGCTAATAGCAATTTTAAATTAACTTTCTTCTAGGTATATGAATTAAGGTTTAGAAAATGTAAAGACTTTTTATTTGTTAGAGTAAAAATTTACAACCTATTTAAGAAAAGTATGAGACTTGGTAATGACAAAAGCCACAAGTATGAGTTGTACTCCAGAAACCGGATCTATAAGAATTAAAAAGAGATTTCTTCCATTGAAAGAAAAAAAGGATAACACAGAGTGGTCACGACTGCATTTGCAAATCCTGTGCTGAAGGAGAGAAGGGCAGCTTTTGTTTTCCGGGAAGGACAATGGAAGTGAGAGCAAAATTAATAGAGGTGATTGAAGGTGAACCATCCGGGGTGTTTCAATATTTTATATAATCAGCTATAAATGCTGGGAGTTGCTTTTGCGATTATGCTACATTGAGAAGTTGGAATTCATTATTATTTAACTGATTACTCTATGATCAGTTTTGGGGAACATTTTTGTTTCAGTCACTTGTGTTTGATTTCATGCAACTTCAATGTTTTTGTGGATTTGCATACACAGGGCCACCAGATTACAGACTTTCTGACTTTGTGTGACTCCCTTTAACCCCCTTCCTGCAAGTCTATTTGCTTGAGGAAAGGCTGTAAAGAACCTCATTCCTCAAACAGCAAACATAGTTACCAAAGCAACGGTGAAATATCAGATCAGAGCCTTTTCTTTTTTCTTTTTTCAATCAAAATTTATTGGGATGACAATGGTTAGTAAAATTATGTAGGTTTCAAGTGTACAATTCTGTAATACATCATCTACATATCACACTGTGTGTTCACCACCCAGAGTCAGTTCTCCTTCCATCACCAGTTGGTGCTGAAATGAGCTTACTTCTCTCTCCCACTCTTCACTCTGGTCTCTCTAGAAAAGGGAAGTTTAGCAGAGCTCTAATTTAGTACTGTGGGGTGTAAATTAATGTTAATGGCTGCCTGGTCACTGGAAGATCTTTTTCATTATAGTCTGTTCGATTTTTAACAATGTGTGAACTGGTCTAATTTATTTATTTCAATTCTGGATGCTTTGGGTTAGTCAGGAGTCTTTTCACACAAAGCTAGAGAAGGATTCTCTAAATGCCAAAGGGCATTCATTCTCCCCTTAACCTCCTTCAATTCTCCTCCCTCCTCTTTTGTTTTTCTTTTCATTCAATAGTCTGAACAAAGCACCTCTCCAAAGAAAAGACTGCATTCTAGTCTCAGGATATGTACCTTCTTTAAATTATGCATGTGAATGTTTATGCATGCCTGGTGGAAGGGAAAGCCAAGCATGAAGAAAGACCTAGTGCTCCGTGGGTTACTTGGAGGAGGTTGAGAAATATGGCTCCATACGAATCACTTTGCAAATTGTCATAGCCAAGTGGGTGACCATGGATAAGGAGGAGTAAACTGCTGCTTCTAACTTCTACCTTGCAGATGGTTACCCAGCACTGGGCCCTTTGGGAGCATTAGGGTTGGTTTTGTTGGTGTAAATCATCCATTACTTAAAAATATGTTCTGAGGGTTTTTATACTCATAATACAGTTTTGAAATATGTAAGTGGCAAAATTATGTAGGTTTTAATGTGGGGCAGAGCTGCAATCGTTTTGGTCTTTAGAACTGAGCTGTTCTCTCTATTAGAGAAGGGCACAGTAGAGATGCATCTTAACTTGTTAGTAGATGCATCTTAACTCATTGATTTAAAGAAGAAAAACAAGAGCAGATATGGATTTTTGCTCTCCCACATCTCATATTCCACCTAAATAGGGGCAAAAAATGTTGCGTTTGTAACAGAGGTTCTGATCTATTTTCCTGGGGTGCTTCCAAGGAGTTTCCCCCAGCTTCCCTCTCAAGTCTCTGCTTATTCCCATTCTCCTTTCCTTGATTTTTGATTCCCAAATGGAAATCCAGTGGGATATACTTTCTGAACATGAAAAGAATATTGTTTTGTCCCTTTGAGAATAGTAGACAATCTAAAACGTGTATTTACCTAGGCGTAGCAGACCCTCAAACTCAGCAGAGCACCCTCCCCATATCTCTAGGGAACCAGGTGGCCGCTCATCCTTTCTTTTTGGGAAACACCAAAGGGGTTGTTCAAAGCCTGCTGGAATCATGTTGGATGGTTATGACCATGAACTCAATCTGGGGGTAGCTATACAATGGCATAAAGAGGAGACTCATGTTATGTCTCCACATTCTGTGCAAAGGGGGAGCCACTGGGGTAACAACATGAAACCCCACCACTGATTTTTCTAAAAACTTAAGGGAAGTGTCATCTTGCCTGATGTGTACCCTATGGAGAAAGAATTACTTTAAGTGTCTTGTAAAGGCCCTTAGGGAAGTTAGATCATGAGCAATCTAGGATGATCTCACCCAGTTATTCAGGGTGTTGAACTTGATGGCACATGGGGAAGGCAGTTACTGTTAAATGGCTCAGAGCTAGTGGAGTGGATCAGCTGCCAGGAAAAGCAGAAGCAAACCCTGGGAGAACACTTTTCATTCCCAAGCTTAGGAACAACAGGGAGCTCTTTTACACCGGGAGCACTTTTTTTTTTTTTAAGAAAAGATAACTTCCTTTAAGGGGATCTGCTGAATGAAGCAGTGTATTTTCACCCTTGTGATGACGGGCATGAGTCCGGCACTACCATAAAAGAAGAATGAACTTGGACATACCACACACTTGGTTTGGCCTTGTCCCATACCTGTGCTCTTGTCATGGTTGATTATCCACTTATATCAGATATGAAGCAAGCTGCATGCACTGTGGCTCGAGATAAAAGCTATTTTAATATGCCCAGGTCACATATTATCTTGGCCAATAGTAATTTTATATCATTTTCTTAAAGGAAACCGCACTCCTTGCAATAATTTTTTCCAATAAAGCAAAATTTCACATGACAGAAAGCTTTACATACAACTCTTTCATTTGAATAATAGCATTGAATCCCCTCCATGGCAAACAGAATTTGAAAATATCTTTATTATTTCTTTTGATATACAAACCATAAGGAAAATAACTTTGGAAGACCCTCAGTTAAACTTCTAATGATTCTACTTTCTTTAATAGTGAAGCATTTTTTACAGCTTTGGTGAGTTTTCTCTTTTTAAGTTAAACAATATAAACACGCCAAAAAAACAAAAAAAAAACCAAAACGTGGAACTTTTCCTCTCTTACTTTTAAGAACCTTAAGAGCTGAAATAGTGGTTTGGTTTCCTGACTGCCAGCTTTGGTTTGCCGTCTTTCAGCCGTCTTGTGCAATTCCCCAGAGGAAACATTAGAAGAGGGTTTTTTCTCCCACATAAGAGAGTTTCATCCCACACAGCCCACAGATTTTTGATGGCAAACTTCATGGACCAAGTGTCTGGTTATACACAAGTAGCTGTGGAGTATGATTTTCCGTCCACAGGTGCACAACACTCATTCTCAGACCTCAGAAATAAGAAGATATCAGCCTTTTAAAATGAGGGTAGTTTAACCACTGGCTATCTCTGTGAGAATTGGGTGCCAATCAGGTCGATTTTAATTTACTGGATGACGGGCAAAGAAGGTGGCAAGCAGGGTTCAAACTTCCAAAGCCTTCTAGCTGATCTTTCTTTACAACCATCTGGTATACACAGAAGTATTGTATAATTTGGCCTGTATTTTTCTCTTACTGTGAAACATATTGAAACGCTTTTTGTTTAGGTGTGTGTATAGAAATTCACGAAGTCCTTTTATACACTTTCTTACTTCCAGCCCAATTCTCATTTTAGGACCTCTTGAAAAGATAGCTTTGTGAGAGCTTATTCTGCCCAGGCTAGTAAACTTGGATTTGTTCTTTCCTATCTACCAGCCACCTGATTGCCGTCCTGTTTAAAGGGCATCCGTTCACATCATCATTTTTTCCAAGTGCTTAAACCTGGAAAGATATTTTTTAAAGGACTCACAGAAGCTGTCTTGGGGGTTTGGAAAACATCGCAAAATTGTTAGCAGGCCTTTTGACTGTGCTATTTTTAGGAAACTAATTGTGTTCTTTTAAAGTACATTTTTGACAATGGGACAAAGTTTTCCTTGCCTCCACTGATATGTGAGATATTTACAATGAAAAACGTCAGTAAAACACCCCAAACGGATACATTTTAACCTCAGCCACAGTCAGCACCAGGGGAAAAGTGCTTTAAAAAAGAAAAAGGTTTTTACAATATTTATGCTGCTGTTTCTGCCCCAGATGAACTTTTATTTTACCGTTCAAACAGAAGTTTGTTTTCAAACCAGTTGCTAGTTAAAAGAGCAGCTGATCTGGCATCCCTACGAATCAGCTCTAACCCAACAGTATGCGTGTTGACCAGAGAGGAGACTTATTTCCCGCAGCAACCCCTAGTAGGTCAGATGCCTGCAGAAGTGTTATCTTACCTTGAGCACGTAAGATCCAGGAGAGAGGCTGGGGGCTCCCACAGGAGAGGACCGGGAAAGTGCTCTGATCTGGTGCTGGTAACATGCACTTGGCTTTTATGGGCAGGTGGGAGGAGCCGCTCCTCATAGTAGGTGGGCAGGAAAGGAGCGGCGGGCGGGCAGCCCCGGGAGAAGCTGGACACTCGTCTCTCCGAGGGGCGGAGAGGGCAGAGCACGGAGCCCGAAAGAGGGAGGAACGACTGGGCGGAGGGGGGGTGGGTGGGGGGTAGGAGCCGAGGAAGGAGTGGAAATGGGAGACGGAGGGAGGAGGAGAAGGAAAAAAAAGAACGAAGAGAAATAAAGAAATAGAGACAGGGATGTAGACCACATGTGGGGAAAGGGTTGGAAAGAAAAGGAATAGGAGACAGGGAGACACCCAAACACGCAAGATCTGGAAGGAAAGGAGGAATTGGAGTGTTTCCCTTTTTTGTATGACATTTTTGGTGGGGCGGTGGCGAGGGTGGGGGTGACTGTTGTATATCATTAAAGGTGTTTTCCGTGAGTTTGAAAAGCGAAATAACGGTTCAGGAAAACTGAAGGGTTCCTATGCCAGGCAAAAGAAGGGAAGCTGGGGACGCCCAAGGAGCAAAGCCCAAGTGCCGGGTGGACGCGGGCGGAGGGAGCAGGAGCGCGGGGCGGACCCTCACCGGCTGGCTGGAATGCGGGCCGCCCCCTGCGCCCCCAGCCCCTGTCACCCCACTGCCCGCTGGTAGAGCCCAGCCCCTTCACCCATCACTCCCAGCAGTGCTTATTTGACATGCAAGCTCTCTTCATTTTGCCTGTAGTATGCAGCATCCAGAGGCCCCCTCTTGAGACTCCTGCAGCTTTAAGGTAAATCCAGCAAAGGTTGGGGAGGATCAGCAGAGATTGGCTCCTGCAGAAAGGAACCTCAAAACCAGCCCTGGTCCTCCGACATCTGCTTATGTAACAAGATTTCAGGGCTCTCTGCCCTCTGGTTATTTTCGGTATTTAAAAAACTCTCATTCCTAAGAATCGGAAAATGTCTTGGTGCTGTAGCTCTCTCTCTCTGTGTCTTAAAGATTAAGAGAGGATTCAACCAACAAGCAGCTGAAGAATCAGGCAGAAATTCTTAACAAATACATTCGGAGAAAGAAAAACAAGCTTCTTTAGCTGCTGAGTGGTGACTCACTTCCCAGCCCAGGCTTAATCTTTGCCACCAAAGGAATTAAAGCACTTTGAAGGAGAGAACCTGAGCCCTGGGGATGGGGATACTGAGAAGGGTTAGGGAGGGGCAGCGGGATGGGTGGGTGGGCTAGAAAAAAGTAAGGGAACTAACTTTTATTGCATATATTTATATAGAACAATATATAAACTATATATAACTATATATAACTTGATATATATAAAACTATATTATATATATATATATATATATATATATATAATATGTATAATATATAAAACTTGATTCAGTGTTCACCACAACCTTATGAGGTAATTATGATCCATATCATGTAGATTTTTTTTTAAGAAGGAATCTCAAAGGGATTAAGCAATTAGCTCAAGCTAACAAGAGGGGGAGCCACAGCTTGCAAGCTTGCAAAGCTTGTGCACTGTGTGCATCAGACTACCATATAAAACACCTAGACTGGTCTCACTTCAGATCCTGATATCTTTGGGGGTTACCAGGCTCCAAGAGAGCGAAAAATGATGGCTAAGAGCAGGGTTTCTCAAAGTGGGTCCTATTGGCATCTTGGGCCAGATGATTCTTTGTTGTGGGGATCTCTCCTGTGCATTGTAGAATGTTGAGCAGCATCTCTGGCTTCTTACCTGCCAGATGCCAGTAGCAGCCTCTCTCCCCAAGTTGTGAAAATCGAAAATGTTGCTACACTTAGCCAAATGTCCCTGGGGCGGGGGGAGTGTCAAAATTCCTGCTTCCCTTTAAGAACCACTGGTCTAGAGAGGTCCACAACTATAAAAAAGGATTGTAAAGAAATCGGTTAAGAAAATACCCAATATTGGCATTGGATGCTAATAATACTAGCTGCTGTATGTGCTAAGATTGCACTGTACTTAATTTTTTACATATTTGTATTCCTATTGGTCTGCCTCTAGAGCCCAAAGCTTCAATTCTTCCTTTGTGACTAAGCTTATTGTCAATTGGATACACCCAGGAATCAACAAGTAGGACCCCATGTGCCTGGAGTATGAAGAAAGATTAATGATATATGAGAGGAAACCCTTAATACCTTTATCATAAACAAATTTGACATTAGAAAAATTATGCAAATGTTACTCATGATTTTTAAAAATTGATTATTTGTCTTAATATTTAGAATTTATCACCTCTATTCACCCTATTTAATCATATTCAGTAACTTTTTGGGATGTGAAGAAGTTATGTCTAGTGGGTAACTAGCTAGCAGAAAATAAGTACTCAATTGATATGTATAGTCTGATTGAATAAATGACTAGTGAGCACTGACACTTAGAGAATGGCCAGTATTTATTAATTTAATGAGTGAATGAAATAATTAATGAATGCTTAGAAAGCTAGAACTGTCACATTAGCTTTCCTGCCTGTTTGCTATTTGTTTTTGCTCTCTTCGCACCCTCCATAACTCAGTTTTCCTCTTTCCAAATAGCATGTTTGTCTTTTGAGGATGTGGCCAAATCCATTAAATGAAGTCTATGAAATGAATCACCCTGTTACAGGACCTAGAAATAGGACAGCGTTCACTATTCCAGGGCTGACTCCTGAAATCAGATGTGATTTTACAGGCAGGGTACCACTTCTGGCACTTTTTAGTTTAGTAAAGAAATGTGTTCTGGGCAAACTAAATAGGACCCTATTAGAGGATCATCTGGTTAATAAACATGTTAGTAGATATCCTCATCAGATTACAGCAAATTCTCTTTTCAGCCCTGATTTAATGCCTCCCAAACATTCTAGTACCATCACATAGTTGTGAAAAATAGAAACAGAAAAGACAATTGAAGGGAAGGCCATGGACGGCTGTATTTTTCTTCTCCATATTCCTCCTCATTCCCTCCTTTCAAACCTGAATATTCAGCCAGTGTAACAAAAGAGTGCCTTTCATTTCATTTGGATGGTGCTAATGATTAGTTCATTTCTCCAGTTCACACTTGCCGGAATCTGATTCTGTAGAAGATCTGGATAAAAAGTCAGGAATCCAGGAATGTGATCTCTTTTCTGACTCCTAGCGTGCCCTTCTAGAATCTCTCTGAAGGTGACTGAGGTTTGTAATGACCTAGTTTGGTCTTCTGTGGAAAGAAAGGAATCCAATGACAACATAATAGATGCTCTGAACTTTCCATTGTGTGGATATAATAACAGCTACAGATGATCACCTTATTTTAAAGAGCTTTAAAAATGGAAACTTTTTTTGGCTTATTTAAAATTAATCAATTAACAAACATTTATTAAGAACGGACACCCGGCAGTGTGGGGTATTCAAAGCAGAGGAAAAGAAGAATGTAATTCTATTCTCATGGAGGAAAAAAAAGCATGAAATCCTGGTAGTTGGGTAGCAAAGAGACTTTAGTGGGGAGGTGACATTTGAGCTGAGCCAAGGAAAGTATCATTTGCATAGATGGGTGATGAACAGCAGGGCAAGGGAGGGAACATGTTCAACTGGGAGAGACACATGCATACTCAGAGGGTGGTGAATTGGCCAGCATGACTGAAGGGAAGGGCCTCCGTAGCAGAACAATGAGGCTAAGAAACAGGAAAGTAGGGGTGGAGTCAGCCTGTGGAAGACCTTAAAGGTCACCTCAGTCGCCTGAACTGTATACTGTAGGCAATAAGGAATCACTGAAGACTTTCGAGCTCCAGAATGGCATGATGGGAATGGCATAGTATTAAGATTTCACTTTTCTTTGGATAGTGTCTGTATAGTAGCTTTGCAGATAAATGCCTGCCGGTATGTCTAGGACCATGAGCATACTTAGAAGTAGAGAAAACTGAGTGTCTTTGATCTGCAGACTTGGAGGCCTGGGCAAGGTGGCAGACATAAACCTGGCTGTAGCCCATCGTGGTTCTATAGTGCCCTGTGTGGTTGTAAGGAGAGAAAGGCAGCAGGATTCTCCCAGGGTGTGGCCAGGATGACAGATGGAATTAATATGAAGGATGGTAACTGCCCTGTGTGTCAGAGGAACAAGCCTTTTCTTCACCTGTTGTAGCTTTAAAGTTATCAAAAAGCTTCTATCCCCAGATGATAGGTCTGATGTATGAGATCCTTGAGTTTTCAAGGGTTCCTGGATTGGAAACAATGGAACCTGGCTTTAAAAGCTATACCTTCACATTTTCAAAGAGCCAACTTTCAATTATTTTATATGTTACCCTGGGCAAATTTCAACCTCCCGTTCTTCCTGCCACTCCTAAGTGCTTCAAAATGCAAATGAATGTGGCTTTTGGCCTAAGCCAGAAATTACTGACGATTGAAGTTCGAAGTACAGAAATTTGCTCTCCATCTATCAAATGACCCATCAGTCAGTTAGCCTAAGCTTGTGCTAAGTATCACCAAATATGATCTTGGCCTGCAGGGCACTTACAATTGCCAGCTCTCCTAGGGCATTTAAAATAGGGTTTTATTTACAAAAAATTTAGACGGTTCACAGCACGGAAGAAAGACACACCTCTCCCGCATTTCGCAGGAACATTGGATCCTGTGAGTCACTGTTTTCCTGTTGGCTAAGATGGTAGAGAGCTGACTGACTCAGGTGCCTACAGATTTCTGCCTTGTCTTTATAAAGAACACTGGACACAAAGTCAGGAAACGCAGGTTTTGGTCCCAGCTCAGCCACTAATTAGCCATGAAAAATTGGGGTACATGTTTTATGCTTTTTGGATTTGGTGTCTGTATGTAAAATAAAGAAGCTTAAACAGACAGTCTCTCAAGTTCTTTCCACCTTTCAGGTGCCTGCTCTGTGCCAGTCAGTGTATACCCCTCTTATTCAGTATCCCCATGAAGTCGACCCAACATTCCATGATCATTCGCTCTGTTTGAAGCATGGGAGTAAGAGCTCTTAATGCACTAATCCAGTGAGTGCTGCAAGAGGATTACACCCCAACATTAAACATTGCCTGTATTCTGGATACAGAATCTCAAAAGCTGGGTATACTGTTATTGCCACTTAACTAGCTCTTAGTTGTCAC